GATTCACCAGTAAACTACAAAATCTTGGTGGGTGGGCATGCATATCTATGTATATTTTAATGTATTTATTTTAAATGTACTTTTGACCAGATGATAAGAAAGTCAAGTATCAAGGAACAGAGGCACACCTTGCCAAAAGTTCAACAGCAGCCGAACCATATCCAAGCTGCATATTCAAGAAAACTATAAGTGAGGAAGGGTTGAGGAAATAGTTTAAACTTTAAGTGAATTATCACAAGTATCTACCCTCATTGCACTTGGATGTGTGGCAATGCGAACAATGCGAGCACCAGACAGGCTGGGGAATACTGTGTCACGGAACTGTTCACAAACTTTCCAAGGTATTTGATCTCCAGCTGGCATATGACCTCTACTCAAGCTTTTTGTAGCAGATATTTGAGAAATTTGCCCCTCAAAAGAGATCTAGACATAAACTTAGTAAAAGGTATTACCAATATGACTAAGAATTTTCTTTTGCAATTAAGTAGATCTTAGAGTGCTGCTTGAGACAGCTAACTAGTCACAAAGAGGGAGTGGGACAAGATATAGCATATCAGATGGCAATTTTAAAATGAATCAAAATTGAAAGCACACAGGCTTTTGAGTGAACAAAGAGCAGTAGCATCTTATCATTCAAATAGCTACAGGGAATGAAAGGACAATGGCCATTGTCTACAACTTTCAGATAAGGACATGCTCTATTTGACTGGACTTAACAACCTATAATATTTGCTAAAATAGAAGCTCGTTATACTTCTAACAAGTTGGATGTGTTTCAATTAGCAACAGTTGATTAAATCTGTGTGATGATATATGTATATATTCTTACAATGAATAAAAAATGAAAATTAACACACCATTAAAACTGTTGCAAATTAATTAATACTATTGAAATGATCATAGCATTCAGTTCTAGAAAGTATGTCAATTTGTAGTGTTGTAATATGACAAGAAAAAAAAAGGTCTACATTTGTCTCAAGAAAGAAGGTATACCTGGATTACACACAGAATATCAGGAAGATGATTTTGGGACTCATCTACAGGACCTGAGAAATGATGAGTGAGTATAACGACAGGAAGAAAGTAAGAAAATACATTTATTATTAACAGAAGCAATCTCTACCAAGTAGTACAAACAAGTGGTGAGCTGGAGCATCAGCCATCAGCTGCAAATCACTTGGAGAGTTCTTGTAGTGAGATGCAACAAATAGAGCCATCATCCTCTAAACAAGTAATGTTGAACCAATGTGAATTATGAGCAAATTAGGATAGATGAAAAAAGTATAAAAGCATTTACGAACAAAAATAAAATGAGGATTTACCTGCAAAAATAATTCGCTGTCCTTGTGGTAGGAGAAAAGAGTGTCCCGATTTACATAGTAGAGATCACATTCGCCTGGTGGGGGTAGCCTGTTAAGAAAGAGGACAGGTAAGTGAATAGAGAGAGGACACATCTCCGGCTTCCCTCGATTATCAGGGGATAAAGTACAACCTGCTGATACTAGGGATATAGTTTGTAACATCCAGACAGAGCAAAGCATTAAGCCAGGATTCAACTGGATCACCACAAGCATATCTGATAGATTCACTCAATTCGATCTTTTTGAAAAGCCGGCCTGCAATAAGAATATATCGAAATTAAGCATTTATCATTGGTAAACATCATAGCGAGAATCTATAAAGTAAAAGTAATTCAATAGCATGAAGAAAAAAGGGATATAAAAAATGAAATGACTAAGCAATCAGTCAACTCAAAAGCAACTTTTACCCAGTGAAAAAGGACCAAACAGTGCTAACCAAGAAAAATGGCATTTGAGATGATAATTAATTTCACACTAGAATATCATAGATCATGTAAATTTCGGCATAGTTTGTCATCTTTGATCCTTCATGAATCTCTAAATCTAATGCACTGGCTTACACAACATTTTTAACATTACCAGATACGACTACATCTATTGCGTCTACCAGTGAAAAAACTTCCAAAGGGATTCATTTGTTTGCAACTATTTGGAAGTAGATCCTGCAATTGCTATTAATAAAACAGAGAACGTGGTGGAACAAATCGTCCTCAAGAAATTTGTCTCAAAGTCAAAGAGAATTATCTGGCGTTACTACAGCTGTTTCCATAAAGCACAGTAAAGTAGATCACAATAACTTAATTACACTTCACAAGCTTGTGAAAGAAAACTAGTCAAAATAAATAATCATGACTAAAACCAGTAACAAAGGACAATTAGCTTATCCAATCAATTAGTCAAAGCCGCTAATTCAATTAGCTATCGCTATCAGCAAATTTAATCCGCAATCCACTAAGTGACAAACAGGGCCAATAGCAAGTTAAACCTCCATAACACTATCCGTATGTACCCTTCACTAGCTTCACTTTTCATTTCTGATTTCTCTTCTCTCATGGCATAGATTTACCTGATGACGATTTTCTAATCACTGTTATCAATGGATGGTGGCGGTAAGACAAAAAACCGCCACATATATAGATGCCGGATAGCGTGGCGGAAAATGGCGAAAGTTAAGGTGGACACAAAATATACAATATTTTATGTATGTTTATGCATTCTGATATCTATACACAGACACACACAAGCATAACACCATAATTAATAATGTCAATTAACTGAATTAAGACATAAAAATAACAGTAGTTACATAAGAAAGAACTGAAAATCAAAGCAAAATAAATAAATAAAGAGTTTAAAATAAAGGGCAGCAAGTAAAAATTTATTTTATAACAAAAGAGAGCTGAAAATTAAAATAAATGAGTAATCTGAAAAAGTATAGAACATTAAAGAGAAACTACCTTTTTTATTTAATGTAAAAAAGGAAACATCAAAACAAATAAATAAAAGTTGATAAATTAGGCAGCCAAAAGAAGGAAGATAAAAGAGGATCTGGAAATTAAAGAAGATAGAGAAAAAAGTATAAACAAAAACAGATCAGGAAAAGAGAAAGAAAAACAGAATAATGGTTGCCATAGGGTAGGTAGCCGGAGATTGGATTGCCGGATGGTAGGTCTCCGTAAACCGGGCTCGCCGGACAGGCTCTTCTCCTTCCTTCCTCTTTCTCGCAAACAATTAGGGTTCTAGTTTTTAATTTCTCAGCAAATCTGGGCTGATTTTTGGCAAAATTGGCCGAGCCCAATTACTTTTCCTTTCTTTTTAGCCCAAAATCTGATAGAAAACCGTTATTTTACGCCATCAGCGCCACACTGCCATGGCCACAATGCTCATGGCAGCCGCAATGGAACCGCCATTGAAATTCCGCCACAAGGCAGCCATACCATGGCGGTCAGGCTAAAAACCGACAGCACATACCTCCATGGCCGCTATTTATTCTAATTCATGACTTGAAGAGGAGAGTTAACTCAGACATTACTACTTACCAATATTTTATCAATGTGTTCTGAATTTAATTTCTTGATTCAGTAACTTACTGTGGTTGCAAAAGATTATAATGCAATCCAAAACCAGAGGACACTTTTCACACGGCCATGTACGCAAAAGAATAGAAAAATCAGTAAATGACTGGGCAAAACACATCAGATAAGCAATCCCTCACAGTAAGCCCAAGAAAAGTAGAGAACCGTGAAACCTGAATTAATAGTCTCTGTGCTTTTACTCGAAATCTGATTTTTCTCCTCGAGCTGTTGCAGCAGTTTCAAGGATAAGGACCTTCCGGTACCTTCATAGCTATAAAATATAGAGTTAAAAAAAATATAAATAAACATATTGAATGATCATTACTTGAGCTACTGCTCGAAAGTAAAGTCAAGAAAGTAAAACAAGTGATAGCAACTTGTTTAATTTAGAGAAATCCCAGCATATATGTGAATTTTGCAACAATGGTGAATTGGCTTAAGATCTCATACCCATTCACAGTTGAAGAGAGGAAGACAAGATACGGACCAAGCATGGCCTTCACTAATGGCAAAGGTATAGCTGCTGCTTCATCAACAACCAGCAATTCCACTTGCGAGAGCTTTTTATGTTCACACGGCTCTATATACTGCACAAATGACAATAATTAGGCATTTGACTATGACAATTATTAAGGCATGTGCCTCAAATGAAATGATCTCATTTAGCGTTATCAAATTTTAGCCATTGTTGTATGGCGTGGCGGATTTCTGCCTAACCACCATAATAAATAAATTTGTGAAGGATGGCGGTTATGACGACGCCACAGCCCATCACTATCCATTTTCCAGAATCTGCCGGTGAATAATACTAACTAGTAGTGCCATCGCACTTGTTAATTAAAAAATTTATACTTACAAAGTTAAAATAAATATCAATTCTATTCAAATTTTCAAACATATTTTTTAAACTGTTTTTATTTAAAAATGACACTAAGATATGCTCGTCCTGTTCTATAATAATTTTTCCAACGCGTATCATATAATAGACTTGATAGATAAATTTAATTAATAACTAGAATTTTTATTATTTCCAACAATGATACATTAGATAATTTAATTTTAATTACATAGGTAAATATAATTTTTTATATAATAATATGGATATCAAAACGAAAATCGTAAAATATTATTAGTTTGATATATCATATATAGAAAAACCAATAATAATGTTATTAAGTTTTAAGCTATATTTATAATTTAAGTTGATCAAGTGTTTTATAATTTTAAAAGTCCGAACAACATGGATAAAAGTCCAAATCTAAATGGATAGCTCCGAAGCACCTTAATTTGACAAATTGAAATATGAAGCACCAAAAGTTGACACGTAAGTTTGGATTTTGGAAAACTTTGCATTTATACATATGAGGGACATCACGAACACAAAATAATTCTGGAAAACTTTGCATTCAATAAATCTTAAAAGTGTTTTTCTTATATTCTTTTTATTTTCTTTCTTTTATTCATGATTTTCCTTCTTAGGCCGTCATCCATTAGACCATTATCGTCGGCGCTGGAAGTAAAGTTTATTCTTCTCCACGTGAGCCAATGATCTATGGCACCGCAATGAAATCAAAGTCAATTGGATCCAAACCAAAGTGTCGTCGCTTTGTCGCTTTGTCGCTTTGCTTTCACCACCGCAGGTACCACCGCTAGAATCTGTCGAAATATATGCTCAAACTCACCGAGCATGCTACTCTCATGATCTACAAATGTTGTTGCCAGAGAAGTAACCGTAACCAAACCATGGTCGACATGCATTTTAATTTTCTATCAAAGCAGATATCCTTCGTGCAACCAATTTAAGTTTTCAATTATGGATTTTTCGAGTTTTTTCTTATTTTGGGTTTGGGAGGGCTTTTGTGGTTGTGGTGGTGTGACGGCTACCATCGGTCCAATGGTGGTTGTTGTGATTCACGATGGCGAGTTCCACGTCATGAGGTTTAAAGCAATTTTCCAGCGTCACTTGAGCTCAACAAACTCCTGTGCAAATAGGCTAAGCCCCTGACCAAAGGACTTACATCTTCGTTTTGAAGGTGTAGGACTTAGAAGGGCTCGAGGAGGACTAGAGTTGTTAATTGAGCCGCTCGTGAGCTCGACGGCTCCTTAAGGCTCGAGCTCAGCTCAGCTCAGCTCAGCTCGGCTCGGCTCGCAATCAAACTCGAGCTCATTTACAGCTCGTTAACGTAACGAGCCGAGCTCAGCTGGATAAGAATGAAAAAGATGATTTTCATGTATTTTTCTTTGGCTCAATTTTGGCTCGTTAAGGCTTGAGTTCGACTAGTTAATTTTGATAAACAAGCCGTGCTCGAGCTCCTTAAGGGCTCGAGCTCTCGAGCTCGGCACGTTTACACCCCTAGGGAAGACAAAGGATGGCCTAGGCAGCGTAAACGCTCGAAAAGGATTTCGAATGCGGCGTCACAGTACAGGGCTATTGGAGAAGAAGCAAAGGAAAAAAGAAAAAGAAAACAGAAAAATTAGAAGAATTAATTATTTTATTTTATCTAATTAAATTTAATAATTTCATTTTCTTAACGATTTATCAGTTTGTTTTTCCTAACGATGTGACAATTTTATTATAATTTTTAGCTATAAATATATTAGCAATATTAGCAATATTGGCCACCTAGACGACACATGTGATCCATGTCAACAATTTTGGTCAACTGGGATGACACATGGACAAATCCGACGACTTTCAAATTTTCCAACAGATACGGGGATGAAATTGCAACCTTTTTGTATACACATGCCATATGGAACGATTTCCAAAACCGCTCTTCGTGGAGGACTATTTTCTTAGTTTCTGGAAAATGAAAGACCAAAAATGCAATTCACTGTGTGTGTGAGCGTGTTTATAACCTACATAAATAGAATTGGCAAACTTCCAGCCCAGACTCACTCTTAAGCTTTAAAGAAAAATCTTCTACATATAATTTGAAAAGTTTTGTGATAAAATATTTTTGCATATTATTAACCATATATTAAAAACTTAACGATTTCTGACAAAAACTTTCTACTTTCTAAAAATTGCAAGTGTACAAATTAAATGCCATAAACTCAACATATTTTGGCTATTCCGTTTTTATATATATAATATCAAAATTATCTTTACTTCTTTAGATGATCATCGATTTGACACCACCTACCATACAGAAAATGAAGAAATAGCTCTATCGGCATAGAACAAAGTCATCCACCAAGCCTAAAGTTATCTCATAGAACAAATTATATATGTACACGAGAAAGCCCCACCAGAAAGCATGGAGGTAACCAAAAGACCGAAGATAGAAGCAGTACTCTATTTAAAATGGCTAGACAAGTGATACTCTTGTTACCTGAATAGTTTGTCGGTGCTGCTTGTAGATATTAATGCGGACAGTTGCTTTCTTATTTTCAGGTGTTATGCCTTTCACAACATCATAATCCAAGTGCTCCTGAAAACATATGGGGGTTAGCATACAATCTCCAACACCAACCACAATACTATATACTTTGTTCAACTTGAAACACAAGTGGATTTATGAGGAATCCAAAAGTCTGGTTGTCCAACTTGAAAGACAATTGAAGCAAAGTTAGATGCTTCAAGATACAAATTTGACAAAGTAGTCTTGAAACAATGAGCAAAAAAACATAATGCAAAACATATTGCTTGCGTAGAAATAAGGGGTAGCATAATACCTTGTATTCAAGCATATTGAATCCTATGCAGATGAATTCAAAAAGAGTTTTCAGATTATCTGGGCTTGGTGCAGTCACAAAAATATTAGAATACCTACCAAAAAAGCAAATTACTTTGGATCAGTGTTCAGACAAGAAGATCAAGGGAAGGACAACATAACAAATGGATCTGAACTATGTATATTATCGTCATGATACCCTGCTGCAACAGCTCCTGCAATTGCCAGACCAAGAGCAGCCGACTTCCCACGTCCACGACCAGCAAGTAAAGCTACTGTGCTTCGAAGGTTCTTGTCCAGAATTGCATCAAGGAATGTAACAACAGCTTTTCCCTACGCGCACACAGAAATGTAGACAAATAAATGATCAAACTACAATGTACCAAATCGATACATACATCCAAACAAGCACTACCTGGTCCATAGTGCAGCATTTTCTAATTAGAGGACCGACAGGGAAATCATCGTTCAATTGCTCCTTCAAATTCTTCAATTCTCGGTCAGCTTCTGAAAGTCCCTCAGAATCCTTTCAAGACCAAAACAATATAAAGCTCCAATATGATCATCTTTTATTAATAATTATGATACAAATTACTTCAGAATCAATAAGTTCCCAACTCAAGAAGAATTGTATGATAGGCTCCACTGCCGCCGTGAGTGAAATCCTTTATACAAGAAATGTTAATGAACTTTTCACTTGGAAAAATATCACGAGGGAAAATGTAGAAAGTGATGAACGTGGTACGTGATGAGTAATTTATAAATAGATTTAGGAAAATACAATAATTAAAAGACTAATAAGTACTCTAGACAATTGTAACTCCATATCCAAGCCGCTTACCTCTTGAACTGGAATTGCGGTGATCGATTTCATATGGGATGAAATAGGTAGAATGTTTAGTTCATCATCCATTACGATGCAAGCTTTGCATGAAGCAAGAGAAAGTAAGAACCGTTCGTTAAAGCGCGCAGCAGCCTGAGAATGAGATTCTGTACGAAACCTCTCATGAACATCCTGAGATTAGTCAAATTTAGCTAGTGCCAAACCACAGTACAAACAAAAGGGAAAGTAAAAGCAAGAAGAATGAAATGCATATTCATGAAATAACTGTGGCTTCCTTCTTATCCCTTTGAAAGCACCTTCATTGTTTTCATTTATCTGTTAACTCACTCTTCTGTCTCAATATTTGTTTATCCTATTGAAATTGGCATAAAAGTTTAAGAAAAGATTGTGACAATACCATGACCATTGTGTAAAGACTAGTGAGCGAAGAAAGAGAGCGAAGCAGCAATAGTATCAATCCACCACCTTCAACCGTTTCAATAGTCCTTGCTAGGAGATTTGGTGTCAAAGCTTCAAAATCCTGGAATCAATAAACAGAAAATTAACTCAAAACCCCAATGAGAGAAGAATCATATCCTTATAATTAAATCTTAATAATTTCATAATAATTAAATGACTTGCAGCAATGATGAATTTACCTGCAATATACACATGCCAAACGTGTTACCAAGAATTCTTTCGGAATCTTTGTATAAGCAATACTGGATATCTGTTGTTTCAAGAAACAATGAGAAAGAATCAGCTTTCTCTGGTTCGAATAAGCCTCTCGCCATTAACTTCTTGACTTGCTTCATCCGCTTCTTTTTGTGACTAATAGCAAATGAAAATAAATGGAATCAAATCAACTAGCCTTTCTGATACAAAACAGAGGCATCAAGGTAATCAGACCCAACAGGAAATAAAATGCAAAAACGATATGGAGACATGCTGAGTGAAATAGTAGGCAGACATAGAGACAATATGCATTTTCATTTTTGAGAACAAAGTCAACGAGTTAACAAAGCCCAAGATATATATTAGTTTGAGCAAAACCTCGGAGGAAACACAAGCAAATAGCAGAATATAACTGTAATCAAGATAAACCAGTAACAATTATACATCAAGCACTTTTAAGTATTAACAGTCTAGCAGCTAATCCACGAGCTACAAACACAAAGATTCATTCAATCAAAAAAACATATACATAAAACTCCTAGGTTTCTGTCTCAAGCTCACGAATCAATCAATCTAGTCCATAATACACAAATATTCTGAAATTCAAGCTAATCTTCAATCCATATAACCAAGGCAGACCTACTTTTACATCCACTTACAAAAATCAACTCTTTTGCTTTCATATCAATGAAGCTACCAAAGAAAGGAGGAAAACATTCTCTAAGTACTTGACCTAATAATTTTCCTTATTTTAAGATCATTCATCAGAACAATGTCAGAAGTATAAGCATACGGCATCCGACAGTCACACCATCCATGTATTTCTTCAAAAAATCAGTAATTCAAATCCCATCAGTCTCCCCCTCATCAAATTAGAATAAATTAGAGGATATTTCCACTTGATAAGGATAAAACTTGAGCGAGAACCTGCTGATTTCGAGTTTGTCCTTGTAGCACCACAACACAGTCGGCTTTAGCTTGACCACCGACTTGCGCAACATATGGTTCAAATTCACAACCTGTCTCGAGAAAATAAAAGGCATCGAATGAACTGAGCTCACTAAGCATTAACATGAAAAATGAAGCGCAGAAGAAAGAAATAACAGAGATATACCTGGTCGCGTGATTTGTCACCAATAATGACGAACATGGAGCGATGTCGGGCTTTGACGCCATTCTCAATGAGAGTTCTGATGCGTTCGTCAACCTTTTTCCTCATGTGTTTCCTCCCTTGGATCTCACCTCTTTCCTCCTCACCAGAATTTTGTTAGAATTGGTTCTCGGCGGCGGAGGCTCGTCAGTGGTGGAAGGAGAATTAGAATCAGTTACTTGAGTAATGGCGGTTGTGTGCAATGTAGCTTTGCTTGTGGGCTGATAGTCGTTGGGGTTCTTGGGTTTAGGGTTTTAGTGAATGGTACCTTCGTGCCAATGCTAATTTTAATCCACAAAATTAACACTAAGTTTTTAGTAATGATATAGGTACATAATGTTGTACATAAAGGTGTACATAACACTCACATTCAGTAGGACCCACTAAAATTAAAAAATATCAAGTGGACCACACTCCATGTGAATATTATGTACATCTTTATGTACATTTATTATGTATATGTAGTATTTTTCCTAATTTTTTAAGGGCATTTACCATATTGGTTCAATACTCTTTTTTTTTTTTACTTTAATCAAATTTCATCCTTTTTTTGTCAAGTATTTATAATTAACCATTGCAGTCGTCACCAACGCGGAACAGGTTCGGCGACACATCGCGGCCTCGCCGGACTGCGATTTATGTGGCGCGCTAGAGTCAGTATTACACGTTCTTCGGGAATGTTCGCTTGCTCGGAGTGTTTGGAGTCGGTTGCTCCCAGGCGATGGGGGTGGCTCGTTTTTTGAACAACCGCTGTCGACTTGGCTGAGGGCTAATCTCTCCCCGCGGGCTGTGACCTCCAACTGGGACAGTATTTTCGCGCATGCCACGTGGAGTTTGTGGGGCTGGCGCAATGATTGGATATTTAGCCATCGTACTTTGGGCTGTACTGAGCGGTATCTTGAGATCGCCCGGCTAATCGATTCTTATGGACGTATGGCTGAGGCTTTGCGCCGTGTGGGGGCTGATGTTCATGTTACGCGCATGATCGATTGGTGCCCGCCGGATCCAGGATGGATAAAGTTGAATACCGATGGAGCATTTCACAGTAGTACGGGTATGGGATGCGCGGGGGGTGTTCTTCAGATGAGTTGGGTTGTTGGATTGCTGGCTTTTTAATGAATATCGGTATTTGTCCTATCACGGGAGCCGAGCTGTGGGGTTTATTTCAGGGACTGCAGTTGGCATGGGACCGGGGTTACCGTAAGGTTGTTGCTGAGGTGGATAGCATGTGCGTCAAGAGCATGGTCTCGGGCTCTGGCGTATTCCATGGGACGCACGGGCCCATAGTCCAGTCTATTCGGGAGTTGTTGAATAGAGATTGGCAGGCTCGAGTTTGTCACGTACACAGAGAGGCTAATTTTACGGTGGATCATATGGCTCGATTAGCTAGTTCCTTCTCCTTGGGTCTTGAGCGTGTTTCCACACCGCCCCCCGGCTTGGGGTCTTGGTTGGATCATGATGCTAGTGGGGTTTCATATCCCCGTCGAGTCTTAGTCTAATTTCATCCTAGGCCTTTGGCCTCCTCTTTTGTATCAAAAAAACCATTGCAGTCGTCGAATTGTGTCGAGGAAGGAGTGGGTGCGGGCCTCTAAGTGTTCTTCCGATGGTGTTTAGCTGATTTTGGTTGAGATCTGACTAGTTGTCGTTTGTAGGGAGTTTTGAATCCAGGTCTCGGACCATGCTTTCTGCCTTTTGGGTCTGCGCCTTTGGTGTTTGGAGTAGTAGTGGTTTGGTTGGGCCCACAGACTGGTGAAAAGGATATTATTCTAGTTATGTTGTTTTTTTTTTTTTTGAATGATAGATTCATTAAATAAGCATATAATTACAAACGACTAACAAGCCTACTGAAATAGCTAAAAAAGTTGACTACAAAAAGGCCTACACAAACATAATGCATGTAGCCTAGATAACACAAAAACTAATGAACCAAAACAAAGCAAAAACTCTTATAAGTGGATAATTAGGCTCCCAATAGGAAATAAAACACATAAACAATGGAGTAAGGGTTGATACTCTTTATACATTCTCACCTCTTATCTCTTTACAGGTATTAGCTGTGTGACCATAGCCTCTATGATAACGATAGTACGCCTCTGGTTGACCTATTAGAAATCTATTTCTCCTGGGTAGCGGCCCAGGATGGTTCTATAATCCAAGGTTATCCCTCGTTTTTATAACTTTAAAGACATGTCTTTGGGTCGCTGATAGGAGTGCATACCGGTCAAACCTATGACCGAACTTCAATCATTTTTTCTCACCTTCAAGCCCATCACGTCCTGGATTTTTTTCCTTTGATTTATGACGTCCATCATGTCTTTCTCCATCTCTCTCTTCATATCCGACTATAAAAAGTCTGCTTCCACTTCTTTCATGTTGATATACTTATTGCACATTTCCAAAAGCTCATCGTAACACCTTCCAGGCTTTTTAGCCAATGAATTTCTCAAAGCATTAGGTCGCAACCCCCTAGTGAGCCCTCCTTCCTTGACTTCACCTATGGCCAAGGGTACATCGAAGCACTCCTATGTATAGCGTGTTATGTACGCTCTTAGTGTCTCTCCCTCTCAGTTGCATATTGATGAGTGATAGTTTGGTCTTCTAATGCCTTCATGCACTTGAGAACTGATTGATGAACACCGAGCTGAATCCTTTAAAGTCCTTAACTGACCCAAACGTCTGTTGATAGAACCAATCATGTGCGGGCCCTCTCAGCGTGGCAAAAAATGCTCGATAACTAAACTTACGTAGGACGACCATGTTCTTTAAGCTTTATAGGTGTCAGGCAAGGTCCATGGACCATCGTATGATAAAGTTATCTCTCGAAACCCATGCGGTAGATCTGCATCAAGCACTTCGCCGACGAACGGGTGTCCATAGAGCTGAGGACCACGCCTTTCCTCGATCTTCTCTTGGAGTCCACACTATTCGGCAGCCACACGTTACCAGGTTGGGTCACGTTAAGTTTGTATCGGCGATGTTGAGTTGATAGAGCATTCTGGGTTATCATATCGCTTTTGAGTACTCTTTTGCTCCTCATGTCGCATTGTAACCTCTGGTTCCACGGGTGTCACTGGTGCTGATGTTGGTTGGGTAAGTCTAGCCATTGCCTCGGCTATCATATTATCTAATTCTACTTGTGTGACCTAGACGGAGCCTTCAATCGCGGGAGTCGCATTTCTCGTCCGACCTAGAGGACCACTAGTACCCTCAACAACCTCCAGTTGCAATGGCAACCCGATACCATGACAAGGAGGCTTCTCTAGCTTGAGCAAGGGTCTTGGTTGCAACCCTTGAAGGCATTGTATCTCATTAATGAGGGTCCTTGGTGAAACGTTGTTTGTGGGCCACCCCATGGGTGGCCCTGACCCCTACGGACGGGTCTACAGCCACACGTCTTCCCCGCTTCCTTCCCCCTGCGCTGATTCTTGTTTTGCCAACAATGGAGGTGTAACACAAACTTTGAGTAGATGCAACCTTTAACTCAATCTTCAGTAGAACTGGTTTGGTTCCCACAGATGGCGTCAACTTGACGATACTCCACTAAATAAAACGCGGTTCAGGCTGGCCAAGCTTCCCCAAAACCTCTAGTTTAGCTTCATGACCCTGTCGTCGGAGACAGAACAATCCACGATAGAGCTGTTGACCTACAAAATGGGCCGAGAGGTTCTCCTGGCTCCGACGATCAAGTCAGTGAAAGTTCTAGAGGAAAGTGAAGATCATAAATAATTGCATATAATAATAATAATGAAAAAGTGGAAAAAGATCATAAACATGATCTTACCCTCTATTTATACTGGTCACCTTACCCTAATTGTTGTATTGGTGCCCAAGGAAGGGCTACCCAAAAATACAACAGGTTGTCCGAAGGGCAGCCAGTTACCCAAATCAGTTGGCTGAGATTAGTACTTATCATCATGACTAGGATTATTTTAACGTATTTGCTTGACTGTTACCTTTTAGGTCTTGAGTCGTTTGGATAGTTATAACACCCCCTTGGTTACCTACCACACTTGAATCAAGACTTAAGTAGTTTAGCACCTTCTTTTGGGTCTTCTAAGTTGAGTTGTCGGCCCTTTGGGTCTAGTTGTGGCATTCAGGTCATTTGATGGGTCTTGGTCACTCGTCTAAGCATTTTAAGTCGTTTGGGTCTAGTTGTGGAATTTAGATTGTTTGATGGGCTTGCAGGCGTTGGATAGGCCGGGTCATTTTGTAACACCCTACTTTGATTTTAAAGAAAATCCGGACTTTCCAAAAATCAGAAAATAATTTTTCGAGATCATTTTCGAAATCTAACGGGTGTTAAACAATATTTTTCATAACCCAAGTTTTATCTGGGCCCACGGAGATTCATTATCCGGTTTTCACAAGTTTTTCATTAACCCAAATCATATCACATAAAAAAATACTCAACATGAAATATCCAAACCTCATTAAAACCAAACATCATAAGCAAAAGGTCTATCAAGTATTCCCAACATCAAAACAAGTCATAAGTTTTTAATAAAATTTTTCACAAGCCTCAACATAAAAGGTTCAACGGAACCTCATTTATTCTAACGGAAGCGAAATATATAGGCATAATCAATAGATCGACCCACTCGTCTTTCCTCGTCAGCCAACATCTGCTTAACCTGCATCCGTGAAGAGCAGGTGGGGATGAGCACAAGATGAAAACGAGGTGCTCACCACTATGCACGTATAGCACAATAATGAATAATGTAAAGAAGGCATGGTCGCAGTATGAACATAAATCAATTACCTGTCACATCCCCATATCATATCACAATATATTACCCCTGTGTACACATCTTTCATTAGCCACGGAAAGGGGATTCATTACCCTAACAGTGGGGGTACGTGCCACGCTACGGACACGGCCTTTCATTAGGTCTTAAGGGACTTACCTCGCAAGGGTAACCGTATTACATCGACGGGAACAACCGTACCGACGGACGAATCGGCTCGCGCCGATAGGCTACATGGTTTACATGCATACTTAGATCATACCAACCCAACATTAAATAAAATACATACGGCATAGCAAATTTTATAAGTAAACCCACCTGGTT